GTCTTGATCCGGCGGTTGATGGGGCTGACTGGACGGGAGAGAGTGTGTTCTTCTTCCTCTCAGTCGGAGTACTTCCTCCCCATCGATTACATGGAAATGTTGTTGGATGAGTTAGAAACCTGTGAAGGAGAGGTAAAAATATTAACTGAGGTGAGTTTTTGGTTTCGGATGCAGGACAGTCTCGGGCCTCATTGCCCCCGAGGTACGAATTTAAAATGAACCGCAGTCAACTTCGTGCTACGGTAGTGAGTCGTGACGTGGACTGCGACAATGCAATGTGCATTTCCTGCTCCTCTATGCATATGCGCTCGAGAAAGATTTCAGATAGGCATGCGACTGACTTGCCGGCTAAACATATTCAAACGGTGAATAACTGGCGTGGCATTGTGAGTTGTGAGATATCGCAGTCGTCTAAGGTCGGTTGATGTTACCTTATTAATGGTACGCATGCAGGAACGTTTCTGAATATTCCTGTTGAAGATAACTTTGGATTATTGTCCTCCGTGCAACGGTTTTTGAGACAACTGCCACTTCGATTTTGCTACACCTTCAGTTATTCTTCTCCAGCCGCCCTTTACGAGATCCACAAGATCATGCAAATAGTTTCCCTCTTTCGGACTATCCTCTCTCTGTTTGAATGGCAGAGAAACACTCCACTAGCCAGATCGTGCTCAGCTTGCCTCACTCACGAAGATGGGAGTCTTCTGAGGAGTGGCCACTTGTAAACAAGGTCACCCCCCCCCGCTAGCTACCATTAGGGTCTTTTTGGAACTGTCTGAAAGCTTTCACTGTGGGTCAACCAACTGTCTCGACTGCTATACACAAAAGAAAACCGCGTTTCAGACAGCCAAACTGATGGCCTGACAATAGCAGTAAGCGGCCTGGGAGGTATAAGTGTTAATGCAGACACTAGAGTAGCATTGTCGCACGCCCGTTCTGATTTATCGCACAAGTCAGACAGACAAAGCCCATTTAAAGACAATGGGAATCGTCTTCTGTGCGGTAGGAAGGCAGACAGAATCCTCCCTGTAACTGACAACAGCGCGTGAGAAGCAGAACTTTACGATGGCAGAGCCCGTTGGGGAGGTGGGCGGCGCTGGTCGGTTTTCAGGACTGAGGTCGCCTGCAGCACATACTGATACATCTAATTGCTCTGTCGACCCTATTTCTGGACGACGCTGCCTCACAAAGATTGGCACCTCGAGCCTGGTAGAATCCTCTCGAGGGACTGTGAGTGAACTGCCAGCGACAACAGACAGTTCTGAATTCGTTGCCACCCTGCAAAGATGCTCTTCCACCAACGACTGCCTCGTCATATTCTGCCGTCCGG